TAAAATAAACCTTCTTAATTATTGAGAATGGTAATACTTTTCAGGAATTTATATATTTCCTGTTTTGGATTTAAAATGAGAAAGATGCTGTAGAGAAGATAAACATATAAATATAAATAAAGTAAGCATGTTTCCATGGTTTCTCTGGCCCTCGTTCTTCCTGAGCTCCAACCCATCTTTCAGTCTGCGTCATAAAAACAACTGGGCAACAGCTGGATCTTGTTAGACCTAGCAGCAGCTTACCTGCCACAAGTGCAGAGTAAGCCAGTGATTCATGTATTTTCTGAACTCACAAAACATCAGCAATGTTTATAAGTGGGTTGAACATGTGGTTCCGTCTGTTTTTAATTCTAGTCATATCACTTTGCATTTTACTCTTTGTTTATAGGTCTGTCCTAGTGATGATTAGGAGCTTAAGTGCAAGTCAGTGGATGTATAATTCTGAAGACCTAGTGCTTAACCCAGTGCTGTTAACAAAGAAGCCAACAAAAGTTTGTTTTTGTTTTTTTTTAATGAATAAATGTTTTTCAAATAGAAATATTCCCTACAGAATCTGAAAAACAAAATCAAGTTATTATTCACCAAAAAGAAATCTAAAACAGGATTTTAACTCTGGGATTTCTAAGAAAATTGAAGAACTGTTTTCCATTACTTTTGCTATGGCTTTTTATCTTTAGTTTTCTTGACTTCAATAATAATAGCATCACCTTTTAAAATTCTTGCTCAAAAGCAATAAAACAGCCACACAGAAATAATATATAAGAAGTCAATACATTTCAAAAAATTTTAAAGCAAGAATTGAAATAAGCCTTCAATTTAAATCAAATAGTAAGTCATACTTATACTGTTAAACCAAACCAATTCAGTTGTTTATTTTGTTTTACCCTCTAGGCTGAGTGTCAATGGTAACTAGTCCTTGTGATAGATAATGATCTTGGAGCACAGGAAAAAAATTAATATATGGTACCATTTTGCTGATAAAGCTATAGACAAAAGGCCAAAATTTAATTCCTCACCCTGTGGTTTCTGGTATAAGCCTGAGTATTATTTTGTTTTTCCTTCCATTTTGAATTTAGGAAAGAAAAAAATACATTTTTAGTAAATGTTTACATTTAAAATAAGATACTCTCCTGTTCACTGCTTCATAGATCTAAATGTTTCACTGAAAATTGCCAAGAGCACTGAACTTCAATATAAGAGTAGAGAGTAGTTTTCCCAACGAACTATTGACCTTCCCTAGGAGGGAGATGCCGCTAAAATGACAGTTAATCATAAAGCAGTTCCACAACGGGTTACCCAGAAGGAGAAGGCAATTGAAAAGAGCAATTTTAACATACAATCGCCAAAGCATGCAACACAATTTCTGATGGCATATTTTATTTCCATTTAATAAGAGAAAGAAAAACTGTATTTTCCTACCTTCTATACCAGATGGTATACCCAGAGGAAATAGATACACAGAAAAAAAAGCAAGCATACTTTCTCTGATTGTTCCTTGGGGTTTCTGAATTACTTCCCATTTAAGACAACTTCACATTTATACCTTTTTTAAAATTTATAAAATGCCTGAGGAAACATTATGTGCACAACAACATGGGTCAGAGTATAAACTCACAGTAAAATAATGATACCCTTCAGGTTCATAGAGAAGCACAAGGCACGTGCAGGTGGCTTCAGCCACCAGAGGCTGTAATTACCACTTCTCCTAACTTGAGAGACCCTGAAGCAGGTAATGGTACTTACCAATAATTTTTACATACTTTAGAAAGAAAACAAAAAAATAGCTTTGGCAACTAGGCAGGACATTTTCAGAAAAGGATAAAGTAAAACACTTTTATACACTTCTTTAACTGTTCAGGGTGTTTAAAATGCAGCATATATTTGTAAGTTGAGCACTAATCAATTGTACTTCAATAAAAGTGAAGTTGAAAATATTAACCTATGTGTTCTCAGGGAATAAGTTAGCCATGAAGATTCTATTTTTAAAAATGTACATGCCTACTGGATTTTACCTGTTGTACTTTTATTTATTCGTGCTATGCTATTATAAGAGAAAAAAAAATGACCTATGGTAACAGTATAATGAAAAAGAATTAAGGCTTTTAAAGTACCACTAAATGCAGTTGAGGTCCACCTACCCAACTATCTGACATTAGAAAAATCACTGTCAGTTTTGTTTTTTTCCTGAATCTTAAATTCACCAGCTACAAAAGTGGGATAATAATACATCTAACTCACAGAACTGATGTGAAAACAAAATACCATGATAGATTCACCTCATATGTTAGTTCTAAAGTAGTGTTCATCAATACTTGGCTATAAAAAAAATCTTCATTTTCATTTGGAAATATAAAATTTGTTCATTAACATGCACGAGTAAAACCTTCCTATTGACTTGCTGAAAAATTATTGACAGATTCCTGGCTAATAAATAACATTTACTATTGCCACCAATAAAATGGCAATGGTTTAAACACATTAAAATGGAATTTTTAAGATAGTAAATATTAACTAATTTACTCTTTGATTGGTACTTAATAGTCACAAAAATTGTTCCTCTGTGATATACCAAAATGAGAATTCCGATAGGCAGAAAATAATCTTCATTCCTTTGTTACTTATAAGAAATTTATGTGAAATTGATATCTCAAATGCACATATAGCTGAGAAATCTTTATACTTTTTTAAAGGCTTCCTGGTGGTCTAATATGTAGAGTATATTAAAATAACTACTTCAAAATAATCAATATTTATTCAAT